CCCCCCCCCCCCCCCTCTCTTCTCTTTCCTTGCCTGTATCTGATTGAGAAAATTTCTAATTTTATGACTCTTCTTTTTTCATTTTACTACAATGATTATTGTCTGTCTCATCCTGTTGTTCACCTCATATATTGCAAAAAGAGTGGAATCTTAGTGAAGCAAAGCATATAGTTGATACAAGCCTACACATTAAAGTAATATTTTCTTTATATGTTGCTGTTGACCATGTCCTCTGAGTTCTGAAAGGATATCTATAACATATTGTCTTGCAGCATAGTGCAGATCACTTTGAGAGGTTGTTGAAGGAAATGTGTGCAGATGAGGATGGAGATCTATTAATAGAGTCCGCAGTAAAAAATATTCCCAAAGTTTTTGTTGTGTCAACTTTGGTGAGCGTGATGCCAGCTCAGCCTTTCTTATTCCGGAACTATCAGGTTTGAGACTAGTAGTTCCTTTGTGCAAACATCATCACTTCACTGTTGAAATTTTTACCTGGTATGTTGTACTCAATTTGTAGTACCCGGCGGGAACACTAGAAGTGCCTCTTGCAGTTTCAGAGAGTTTAGGAATCACTGTGCAAGGATCACCTACTGTGGGTGCTGAACTTGGCTATAGGCGCAGTGCTTTTATTGGAAGTTGTAAACATCAAATATGGCAAGCTATAAGAGCATCGTCTGCAGCTCCATATTATCTTGATGATTTCTCCGATGGTAATCTCTCATGCACTTGTGGAAATATTCTTTTCATTAGGACCTTAGTGATTAAGGTGAGCATGTGGATATCAACTCTTTCTTGGTTTTAATATCCTTTAATGTTTATATCCTACCATTTCTATAGATGTAAACCGGTGGCAAGATGGTGCAATAGTGGCAAACAATCCTACAATTTTTTCCATTAGAGAAGCACAACTTTTATGGCCTGACACAAGAATTGACTGCCTGGTTTCCATTGGCTGTGGTTCTGTTCCAACAAAGGTAAACCGTAACCTTTGTTGTTGAAGAGTCAGTTGTGAAATTCTGGTCTTATTGTCTAGGAATCCCAGGAAATGCAGAGCTACTAATTTTGATGTGCTAACTGAAAAACAAGTTAATAACATTGTAGTTGCAAAACGTTCCAGAATAGATTGGACGGCATTTAAGTGTGATTACTCTGCTTTATAGATTCATACAAAATCTGCTAGTGTAGGTGCGAAAAGGTGGTTGGCGTTATCTGGATACTGGGCAAGTATTGATAGAAAGTGCATGCTCTGTGGAAAGGGTGGAGGAGGCTTTAAGTACATTGCTACCCATGCTCCCTGGAATGCAATATTTTCGGTTTAATCCAGGTATGTGTTGATTCTGAAGTAATATGTCCAGATGAGGATGAAATGTCAGAAATCTTGACCCTCGCGCAGAAAAGCAACCTTAACTACTTTTGTTTCCATCTGTTAACTTTTTCTCTAAGGTGGATTTTTAGTGAAAGAACTAATTCTGAATCAGCACTTCTATGTTTTCCCCTGCAGTTGATGAACGGTGTGATATGGAATTGGATGAGACTGATCCAGCGATCTGGCTGAAATTGGAAGCTGCCGTTGAGGAATATATTCAGAAAAACTCTCATGCATTTAAGGATGCCTGTGAGAGACTACTTATGCCATTCCAACATGATGAGAAGTGGTCTGAGAATTTGAGATCTCAACATTTCCCCAAGTCAAAGGCATCAAATGAGGGTATTGATTCTGACATTTTTCTTCAATCTATCTCTATGCATTTTAGGTTTTGTACACATTTTACAAGAACCTAAGTTCAATTTGTCCTTTGATCTAGTAGATGAAAAAGGCCCTTCTCTAGGTTGGAGGCGTAATGTACTACTTGTTGAAGCTTCACATAGCCCCAATTCTGGTCGAGCTTCTAACCATGCTCATGTACTTGAGTCATTTTGTGCCCGTAATGGAATACGATTATCCCTAATGCAAGGGATATCAGGATTTGTGAAAACGGTGCCGGCAACAACATTCCCAACACCATTTGCTTCACCTTTGTTTCCTGCAAGCATCCCATCAAGCCCACTTTTCTACAGTCCTGATTTTGGCCCACAGAGGGCTGGCCGAATTGATATGGTCCCACCTTTAAGCTTAGATGGTCAATCTGGAAAGGGAGCCGCGTCACCACCCGAGTCTCCTGCAGGACCTAGACAGCTTTCTTTACCCGTCCAGTCATTGCATGAGAAGTTGCAGAATTCGCCCCAAGTGGGCATTGTACATTTGGCCCTTCAGAATGACTCACTTGGCTCGATATTAAGGTCAACATGCTGCTGGTTGATTTGTTATAATTACAAGTTGATGTTATTTCAGTTGTAGTTAGCATTTAACGGCTGTTTATTTCTGTAGTTGGCAGAATGATGTATTTGTGGTTGCTGAACCTGGAGAGCTTGCAGATAAGTTTCTGCAGAGTGTTAAATCGAGTTTGATATCGGTGATGCGAAACCGCCGCAGGAAGGCTGCATCATCTCTCTCCAATATTTCAACTGTTTCTGATTTGGTTGCTTGCAGACCATACTTCCAAATTGGAGGCATTGTTCACCGTTATATGGGACGCCAAACCCAAGTATGCTCCCTTTAGCATTAAAACCATAGTTTTTGCTACTTATTGGAAGTTATTTATAACTTTTAACTCTGGTTCTGTTGTATGATGGCATTCTTTAAGGTTATGGAAGATGGCCAAGAAATTGGAGCATATTTGTTTCGTAGAACTGTACCTTCTATCCATTTATCACCTGATGATGTTCGTTGGATGGTACACTTCCATCTCTATTTATTTGAAGCATTTTCTCTTTTGTTATGTAAAATATGCATCGCATGACCTGACTAATAGAATTGATGTTTTATGCCTTTAAATAACAACAGGTTGGAGCTTGGAGAGACAGGATCATTATTTGCACAGGGACATATGGGCCTACGCCAACCTTGGTTAAGTCTTTTTTAGACTGTGGTGCCAAAGCTGTTATATGCTCTTCAGGTCAGCCCCCAGAATCACAGCTGACAACACTCCATGGATCTGCAGAGTTCAGTGCTTTTGAAAATGGGAAGTTTGAGATTGGTGAGGAAGAGGCTGAAGATGACGTTGAAGATGAGGAGGCTGAGCCTAGTAGTCCGGTGAGTGATTGGGAAGATAGTGAAAACGGGGACCCCTCTACAGGTTTTTGGGATGATGATGAGGAAGAAGTGTCACAATTTGTTTGTCAATTGTATGATTCACTGTTCCGAGAGGGTGCGAGTGTGGATGTTTCTCTACGACATGCACTTGCCTCACATCGGAAGTTGAGGTATTCCTGCCATCTTCCGGGTATAAACTAGATTGCTAACTATATCTCATACAGGAAAATGAAAAATGAAAACAAAAGGCATAGGAAAAATAGAAAAGAGAGAATAAGAACATAGAGGAGCTAGTGAATGTTAAGAAATAAGAGGGAACTTCCAATTTTGAGGCTTACAAACAGAGAAGAAAAATGAAATGTTGTTTGTTTAACGTGTGTGGTGTTCTGCATCTATAATATATTAATATATACATATATATGGTCTCAAATGTTCTCATTTCCCTTTCTGATAATTGTTTTTGCCAAACTTTCATTTCTACTCTAACAACTTTTATGTTTCCTTAGTATGTGCCGTGCCGTGCCGATGTAGTTAGTTGACCATATTTACTTGCTGCTTCCTAAGTAGAAACTACGCGGCTGCAATCGACATGTTATTAACTTGAAGAGTTGGTAGATGTTAAAGACATTAGCATAAAAGTTTCGTTTTGTTGAAACGTCCATTTATTGTTTTATCAACTCAACCTTGGTGTTGTTAGTTGAGGAGGGAGGAGGGTGCCTGGAAAAGAAAAACAAAAACCCAATGAAAGCTAAAAGAAACAAACAAATTTGATAATGTTGGCCAAGTCAAGTGTCATTTGAGCACCATTTAATATGAAAGCTCTCATTCTGTTCTATTGATGGGTATGGCGTTCGTTCAACCTTTAATAATCCACTTCAAATTTCAATTCAATGGATCAACTTTGGCTTCAGAATAAGAACACAATTGGACCAACCACCATTCAATTTTTAAGAATTTCACATGGCCCTCCTATCCTATTCCATTACCAACTTACCAACTGCAACAAATGATTTTTGTCACTTCGCTGCCCTACCCTTTGTGAGTTTAATCAATTGCTTGAACCCACGCATATTTTATATAAAAAAAGTTATCTGCATTTACCAGTTGCATGCATCATTCAACTTCTCTCATGCAGCCAGCAGCCAGCAGCCAGCAGCCAGCAGCCAGCAGCAGAATAATTAACAATAGAAAAAAGCAAATGAAAGCAAATAAAGATATATACCCACCTGAGACTTAAATACCACTCAAGCAACAAACAAGAGAGTCAAAACTTCATCTCTCTTCCTTTTACTCTCTCTGTAGAATCTTTTAAGAAATGACACACAAAAGCATTCTTTTAACTTTTCAGATACTTGTTTTGACCCTACTACCATGATAGTGAACTGAACCCTACAGTTTCAAGTGAATCGAAAGGGTAAAAAATTAAGCCGGAGATTATGCATGCTTTTATTGCAACCACCGGGATAATATGATGACCCAGGGCCTAACCGAAACACCAATTATGGAAAATCTCATGCTGTCCACTTTACCAAAAGCACTGCATTAAAAGAGTTTTATAAATATCAAAGAAAAGATGATCCAAATTTGAAGCAAACTTTCCCTTAAGTCTCATGAAAAAGACCCCAGGGACACCACTTTCTTCACCCTGAAGCTTCTTACATCACTTTACACCTTTAAAAAAATATGCAGTATAAAGCCAGCAGCACAACAGAAATCAAGTTCCCTGAAACAAATACAATGGCTGCACCAGCTCCAATTGCAATAGGCACGCGAGGCACTGTAGGTTCGCTTGTCAGGAAGGAGATCGAGTATTTCAGCAAGCTTGAGCTCGACCGGCTGCGTGGAAGCTCAAGCTCGAGGAAGCCTCAGGGACAAATAGTTGACATGACTTCCAGCAGTTGCACTCATTCTAGCAAGCCTAGCTTCTGGTTCTTGATAATGACCTGGAAAAGGAAGAAGAGGAGAAGCAGCAGAAGGTTCTTATCAAGCATATGCTCTGCTACAAAAGTTGCAGAAACCAATCGGCTAAATGGCATTCCTGGGTTTAATTACAGGATCCTCAAGGATGACATGAACAACTTGAGCATTTAAGTTAGACCATCTTCTCAAAGAGGTGCTGACAATGTTTTTTGAGCTTTATATACCATTTTGCCAGTTCACAACATACATTCAATGAAACTCAAAGACTCTCTCTTGCCATAGTCTCTCTGTTAATACTTTTCTTTTCCTTTTTTTTTCGTTTTTTTTCCTTTTTCATGGGAATTGGGATGGACATGCTGCCAGAGAGAGCAACTGGATATAGTGGGCAAGGCAACCAGAAACTGCATCTTGTTTCCTAAGTACTCTGTTATAGGAGTTGGTCTTAGTCTGATAAAGTAGGAGTTGGATTATGTGGTTTGTGGATTGATCTGGATTCTAGAAGAGCAGCGAACTTACTAAGTAATAGAATTTAAAGTGGACAAAAGGCTTTTGATTTCAGTCCAGTAGTGCAAAACTGAAACATGATCTCTTAGAATTTGATTTTTTTTCTTTTCTTTTGTCAACAATTTTGGTACAGGGAATGGATTATATACACAAACTACAGATTCAGCTTTATCAATTGAACAGGCTAATTATAATAGGTACAGGAAAATACAAATAAAAGATCCCCATAGTTAGTAATGGAAATAAGATTCAGCTTGAATCTGAAATGCACCTTCTTCAGCTTGCACCTTGAGGCAAATTGCTATAGCTCTCGGTCTCCTTTAAAACTTTTTCTTTTTACTGATTCAACATGCCCACCATTGTTTCCTGATGCACCCTTGGCATCCAGTTCATCATATATTGGCAAGGATAGATGCTCAAGGGAGGTTACAACATCACCCATCGAAGGTCGGCAGTCAGCTTCCTCATTGAGACACATTGCTGCAATTGCAACAGCTTGATTCAGACCCTTTACCGGAAATTTCCCTCCAAGCAACGGGTCAGCCATTGATGCATATTTTATCCTGTCATTTAACATTGGCTTTGCCTGCATGATGAAAAAAGAGGATCAGTATTAATTAATGTTGCAAAGAACATGTAGTCTTACATATATGATTCTTCTGTCCTTTTAACATTGGGTTTTCTAATTCACGAGTGTTAACATACCCAACTGACTAGGTTCTGTTCTCTAACTGGCCTTCTATCATCAATAGCTCTCCTTCCCGTGATTAACTCCAGAAATACAACGCCGAAGCTATATACATCAGACATGGTTGTCAGCTGTCCTGTTGAAGCATACTCTGGTGCACAATAGCCATAAGTTCCCATCACCCTTGTAGACACATGGTCCTTGTCTCCGGTTGGACCTAACTTAGCAAGTCCAAAATCAGAGAGCTTAGGACTGAATTTGTCATCTAACAGTATATTAGATGCTTTGAAGTCGCGATAAATCACCGGTGGATTGGCAGTCTCATGCAGGTACTCAAGTCCTCTAGCTGCTCCTTCAGCTATTTTCATCCTGGTATACCAATCAAGAGGCTCTCTATTTGGACATAGATCTGAACAAAAAGAAAATGTACATTCAGTTTGGTTGCACAAAAGTAGCCCATCACACCATATGAAACTTTTGGGTCCAAATTAGTTTTTGTGCATACCTAGAAAGTGATTCTCCAAAGAACCATTGGCCATGAATTCATACACTAAAATTTTCTGGCCTCCTTCTGCACAGTAGCCAATCAGATTGACGAGGTTTGGGTGTTGAACCAAACTCAACATGATAACTTCAGAACAGAACTCTCTACCCCCTTGCAATCCTTTCCTATCCAGTTGCTTCACGGCCACAACCTGAAAGGAACAAATCAAAAACATAAATCGCAGGACCTTCTTACGATTATCGGCACATGAGAGAGAGAGAGAGAGAGAGAGAGAGAGAGAGAGAGAGAGAGAGAGAGAGAGAGAGAGAGAGAGAGAGAGAGAGAGAGAGAGAGAGAGAGAGAGAGAGAGAGAGAGAGAGAGAGAGAGAGAGAGAGAGAGAGAGAGAGAGAGAGAGAGAGAGAGAGAGAGAGAGAGAGAGAGAGAGAGAGAGAGAGAGAGAGAGAGAGAGAGAGAGAGAGAGAGAGAGAGAGAGAGAGAGAGAGAGAGAGAGAGAGAGAGAGAGAGAGAGAGAGAGAGAGAGAGAGAGAGAGAGAGAGAGAGAGAGAGAGAGAGAGAGAGAGAGAGAGAGAGAGAGAGAGAGAGAGAGAGAGAGAGAGAGAGAGAGAGAGAGAGAGAGAGAGAGAGAGAGAGAGAGAGAGAGAGAGAGAGAGAGAGAGAGAGAGAGAGAGAGAGAGAGAGAGAGAGAGAGAGAGAGAGAGAGAGAGAGAGAGAGAGAGAGAGAGAGAGAGAGAGAGAGAGAGAGAGAGAGAGAGAGAGAGAGAGAGATACTTTTTTTATGCTGTCTATGTGTCCTTTGTACACCTTCCCAAATCCACCTTCTCCCACCAGAGAATCAGGATTGAAGTTATCAGTTGCAGCAGCTAATTCCTGATATGTAAAGAGCTGAGCAGATTTTTTTGCATGTCCAGTTTTGAGTATCTCTTTGTGCAAATTCCTACATTGGCTGCTACCTGCATATTCATCACATGCCTGCCATATAAGAGATGTCCGCAAAAAGTTCACCGAGGAAGCCTGGTCTCTATATCAGATCATTTTTCCTATATATAAATTTCTTTGCAACTTGTATTTATGTGTTTCAAAGCAAATATATGATCCAACCTTAATTCATAATTAGCAAACCAAACTTTAAACAAAAACATATTTGTAAACACAGACTTGAACAGATCAAATCCCACCAAACCCTCTGCATTTCATTAATCAAGACTGAAACAAAATGTCAAAATGTCAAAATGAATGAATAGCTTTTCTTGCCACCATCCTACCTGACTTAATAGAGAAAGTTGCAATAAGGGCGGTCAATCTCCTCCCGCCACTAGAATTAGAATATGTCCTCCATGTTCTGGTCTTCCTTACAGATTCTTCAGGCTCATCCACCAGCTTGCAACAAGAGAAGCAGCCCATCCTTTCTCTCCTCCCTGGCGCCTCTGCCTCCGGCTGCAGAAACATTACTTTTTCTGCAAACTCTCTCAATGAGTCCCTGGAAATGGCAACAAACAAATCAAGAAAATCTTGGACTTGAAACCAACATTGTTAAAAGACCAGTAACAAGTTGTTAATACGTGTGCGTTGGCATGTTACAACAAGTTCTATATAGCAGCGTTAATATTAGTTCTACCTCTGGTTTTTTTTTTCACAAAATTAAACCATTGAGTTGAGCTGTCGGCTACAACAGAACGCGCTCTCTATGACACGCTTTTATTAAGCTTAAACCGAGTTAACTTCTATTCTTTTAAGAAATTCGAATAAGATTATCATACCACGTCATCACAGTCTCATAATTTTTAACTTTTGTTATGTTAAATTTTGTTTTCTAATTTTGCTTACCACCAAAAAATTTCAATTCAGTTTCGGATGTGAAAATTATAATTGATCGCAATGGGTTTGTAGCTCATATTACAACCCAAACTCTTACGTAACTTGAGTTCTATGGGTCCATTATTACAAGTATCCTAGATTCCTAGCCCATGAAAAACTGAAATAATAAATAAAAGAATTGTGGAAATTCCAAGTGTAAAGACAAGAGAGAGCCATGCACGTGTGACGTGTCATACAGACCGCTAAGCTAAGCCCCTGCAAAACCCAAATTTACTGCTAAGTCTTGGCTATCCTTTTCTTCAAAAAATGTTTCAGTAATGGCGGTCTTCAGGTCCCTGAAAGCCCTAATTGAAAACCCTAAAAGATCGAGAACCTTCCTCACGGCCACAGCCTCATCCATCTCGGCGCCTCTTCAGTATCCTGCTCTCTCTTACCCTCTCTCTCACCCTCTCTTTCGCTTGCCGTCTCAGATTTCTAGGACCTTTCTCTCTCCACTCTCCAATTGGATCATTCCTTTTCATGGACCGCTCTTCCTCTCTTGCCCTCCATGGAAGCTCTCGCAGTCCGCCACTCCGCTCTACCTTCGTGAGAACGGTGTCGTTCTCAGAAAGATCGAAGCTTCCTTAAGCTTGAATCTCCTACGGAGGAGACCGAGCTTCCCGCTCCCATTTGAGGTCGGGTCACTCTCGCCTGCTCCGACCGTGTTGGATAGTGGTGTCGGGTTGAAAGAGGCCAGTGATGATTTCGTCAATTTGCCCAATTTGATCTCCATAAGTCGGATGGCTTCGGGTCCTTTGCTTGGATGGTAGACATTTTGTTATTAAAATAGTGCAATTGCTCTAAATTTATTTTGTGAGAAGAAAATTATTTTTTGGCTTAATTTCGATTTCTATATATGTTCTTAATCTTTTTTGTTTTTCTTGTTCAAGTTTGGGAATTGAATTTGTAACTGATATACAGGATGATTGCAAATGAATGGTATTCTTCTGCAATGGTGGGGTTGGCTATCTCTGGGGCAACTGATTGGGTAGTTATTACTAAGCCTTTCTTTCACATAGACATCAATTTAAGCTTTAATGATGAATGTTATTCTTCTGCAATGAGATTTTCATTTTTCCTTGCATGTGTAGTTGGATGGATACATGGCTAGGAGGATGAAGATCAATTCTGTTGTTGGTTCCTACCTGGATCCCCTTGCTGACAAGGTATAAGCTTTTTTTGTTTTTCATTTTTCTCAGAAGGATAGAGGTAACACTTTGATTCCTACTTGAATTATTTATTTGGCGTTTAATTATAGTTTTCCATTTAATTATGATACAGGTTCTTATTGGATGCGTTGCTTTGGCCATGGTGCATAAGGGTCTTCTTCACCGTAAGTACCAAGTAGTCCCTTTTTTTCTTCTAGGAGACTTGGAAGGTGATGCCTGTCTGCATATGCATTTTTTTTTTTTTTATCACATTGATAATTAGGCTGTTGCGAATGGTTACATACATCTATTTTTATACCTCTCCTCCCTCAGACACACACATAACCGCATCCCCTTTTAGCCTTGGATACGAACATAGATGCCACACCTGCATATTCATGCACACACTGTGCTGAAATTTTAGACTGTCCAAAACTGTAAAGAAGCAGGATGAAAGAAATTCCCAAAGAAGGGATACTCTAGAGTCTGGTTAGGGGCTATATTCACCCGCACTTGTTGTTTGTTATCATTGTACCTGTAGAATTTGTATTCCAAAGTAATTTTGGGGAGCTTCATAATGAGATTTGTGTTTCACAGTTGCATTCTGAACCTACTAAATTAAGTAGATACTTTGCTCATGTTTGCTTATTTTCCTCTTGTTGTTTACCTTCTGGTTTTTATCTCGTTTGGTTTCTGACGTCTTAATTGGTTTGCTTTAATTAGATGATTTAAAAGATTGTGTGGTTGGGAAACTAATTTTTCATTTGATTTTGTGTTCTGAAGCTGGACTTGTTGGACTCATTGTGTTTCGGGATGTTGGCCTTGTTGGTGGTGCAGTATATCAAAGAGCTAGTAACTTGGAGTGGAAGGTGAGACCTTTCTCTCTTTGTCTTGTAAGTGTTTTGGCCAAAATAACTTGCTTGCTCGTGTAGCCAAAATCTGGATTTGACATTGTTGAATTTTGTCAGTGGAAAAGTTGGTCCGACTTTTTCAACATTGGTGAAACCCGTCCCGAGAAGGTTGAACCGCTCTTTATTAGTAAGGTAAGCATTATTCTTTTACTTTTCGTACAGTGCTCAAGGCTCTATTGGGATAAAAATCACTGCACGTGTTGTGATTGCTGTATGATTAAGATATAGACATCCGCAATTTTGTAACCAATACTGTCGATCTTGGCAGCTTAACACGGTCTTCCAGTTGATTTTAGTTGCGGCAGCTCTGCTTCAACCAGAGTTTGGAACCCAAGATACTCAAATATACATTACATACTTGAGGTGATTTGGCGCAGAACCTTAGCTCTGTAATCATCTTCTTTGATATTATATATGCCCAGACAGCCTTTGTTCATTTCAAATTGCTGCAGTTGGTTAGTGGCATCAACAACAGTGGCTTCTACAGCAGCATACGGAGCACAACACTTGAGGAGATCTGCATTGGCTGCACGGAAATCCTAATTCAAATAACACGGCAAATCTTTCAGTCTGCAACCTTCATGGATTTCAAATGCAACATAAGCTATGTACTTATGAGAAGAATTTTGACGAACAAGCTCCTTGTTATTCACATTTGGGAAATCAAATCACTCTCGCAGTTCTCGTGAGCTACGAGCGAAGATTGCGTGGAAGGAAATAATGACAAGGGATGTCAACTCAGCGAAGCTGTGAACAAAGCTGTGAACAGTAGCAATGATAGATAGCTGACCTGTATAGAATTAGAGAAATTTTGAAAAGGAAATTGTAACAGATGCTGATGTCGGACAAGAGTTGTTGGATGTCCAAGCTTGTATAGTTTTTCGAAAGCTTCTTTCAGCTCGCGTACACCAGTTACTTGAATTATTAATTGATTTCTCTTCTGGTCTTAAGCCTCTCAATGCGTGCAAATGAGATTAAAGAACATGCTTCGTGCGTATGTGTATCACTCCTCGACACAAAGTCTGTTCATAACAAGAATAAAAAAAATGTTATGAAGCAAAGAAGCTGCTCTTAAGAGCAGTTATTTGTGTTCGAATTCCTCTTTCCAATGTCGAACTCTCATTTTCCAATATCGTTTGTATTAAGGTAAGGTGTGTAAGCCTCGAAAGCCTTTGGTACTTAGGTTGGGTGAGCAGCCCAATATCGTATGTATTAAAAACTTCCTTTTTACATGAGGTTTTGTGTCCGTTCCCATTTTCCAATGTCAAACTCTCATCTCTTAATTTATTTTTTATTAAAAATTTTGTTTCAATAATGCCTCTGCATGCACTGGGCACTTGGGTTTAAGTTAATTAACGGAAGTAACACACTTGGCCTGATTTGCTAACGTGGAATGTGATGAAGAAATTGGGAAAATTGAATGTTTGATGACAAATTTAAATTCAAGCTTAATCTCAGTGACCAAAAATGTTTTTTATCCTAATTTTTTCTTTTAATACAAGCTATAATTTTTGGCAAATGGTTGCAATAGTTCGTGGAACCTCTTTTGGGCCTACTTGGGCATCTCATAAGTGCGGTGCGCCCCACAGAATAGTGAGCTTTAAGACCCAAGCAAGAACGAAACGACGACTTGGTGGGGATCGTCCAGCCGGTTCGGACGACCGGGTGAGGTCGGTTGGCATTTGGCAGTTAAAAACCTCACTCTCCCTCCTTTGCGCTCTCTTTACAAACTAGTAAGCAAAGGGCTTTAAGCGATCTCGCGGAATCCTCTCTCTCTCTCTCCGATACTACCAAAACAGGTTAGGGTTTTAAGATTTTAACGTTGTACGTGAGAATTAGGGCTTTCTCTTTTCTTTGTCCCTCTCGTCTTTCTCGTTCGTATGCCTTTCCCGTCGAAGGAGAAAACCCAAATTCAACGTCCGTGCGCATCATTTCTGTCAATTTAGGCAGAAATTCCATTTCGTTGCCGAGAAAAGGTAGGAACTTCAAGTCTTATGTTGTTGCGGATAATGTCGGGTTTGGGTTTGTTTTCACAAGTCCAAAAGCTAGAGAATTTAATAAATATAAATGAATCGCGATAGTCTCAGAGCACTTCATAGAAGCCTAGTTCAATTTAAAGTCTAGCTCTTTTCCCATTTTTCTTGCTCTGCTAGCTTCGGGAAGAGTTCTATTTCTAATAGGAAACGTGTGCAGTATTTATCTTTTTTTAAATTAAATTAAATTAAATTGGGCGTGTTTCTTTTGATGGCTTGTCCCCTACATTTTTTTTTCTGACATGAAAATTATCTTGAACTTGTAAGGTTTGACAAAGATGGATACAGAGGAATGGATGAGAGAGTGTATTAAGAAACTCCAATTTGAAGATCAGGAGAAGTTAGAGCTGGCTTATGGTGTCGAAATTGAAGCAGATGCCGTGTTTCTTGCTTGTCGCATCATCATGCAATACCCTGATGGTTAGTCAATTGGTACCACTACTCCTTTCACAATCATTAGTTTGGCAATGCCTTATTATTCGACGTTTCGTTAATTAATTTGTCAGGGTTTCTCTTCTTTTTTATTTTCAGTTTTTCAATTTGATAGTAGAGGAGTTGGTGACACCCAAAAGGAAATTTTGCAAGTTAAGGTGGTTGAGCTTTTAGAGGAAGCTTGTGTAAAAATGAGGGATAAATTTGAGTACTCTAGACAAGAAGAGGATGATCTCGATGTGTTTGAGTACCTGTTGCGTCGAACACTTGTTGAGTTAAATGAAATCAAGAAAGAGAGAGATCCATCCACCCAAAAATGGAGTGATCGTGTAAGCTACTCTTATTTGTTATGGGCAACATTGGTCTTTTTCTGGTCTTTTCAGTATGCACTGCTTTCCAGAGAAATATGTAATGTGGGGTTGGTGTTATTCAGGTGACAAAGGAACATGAAGAATTGAAGGGTACATGGAACCAGTTGGAGATGAAGTGGATGCAGTTACAAACTTCGCGGCAGAGATATGACATCAGAGCTCGAGAGGCACTTTTGTTGGAAAGGATGCACGAAAGGTTGGTGTTCTGTATAAATGAGGCAAGATTAAAGAAGGTGAACAATTTCTCTGGGATGTTGCAATGGATTGATGACCATGTGACTGAGCTTTTATATACAACTCGAAAAGATTTTAGGCATGAGCTAACCGTTAGCTCGCATGTTATTGCGAAGGTGGATATATCTTTTACTTACTCCTATGCTAGAATTTTTCTTCTTTTACTGACAATACTGCATGACACTCTGGGTGACTGGCTTTTTATTACCTATTAGAAATTCAAAAGTGGTGCATTTCCATGGTCTCAATGGTTTTTACGTTAACATTCATGTAGGCAGTGAGCCCCTTGATTGATGCTCCACCACCATGGTTGCTTTCTGAACCACCACTGCTTCAGAACCTTGAACAAAGAATTGCTAAGAGGGTAATTGGACAGGAACACGTCCTACATGCAGTTACTGCTGCTCTGTCAAGGCAGAGGCCTCAGCGACGCCCTATTGGATCCTTCCTCTTCATGTGTGGCTCCGGTCATGGGAGGACAGAAATTGCCAAAGCTTTGGCAGAACTACTTTTTGGAAACAAAGACATGATAACAGAGTTCGATCTGGCAAAACACACAGGTCCAAATTCTCTCTCGCGCCTAATTGGTGTTCTCTCAAGGTAATTTGTTAATTGACTGGAGTATTCTTACATTTTTTTCAGGCTAAAATATTTCCTGAGCTTATTTATGCATTATTTCTGGACTTTTGCTCCTGTAGTCACATGGAGCCAGGCATGAAGGGGGAGCTCTCAGAGGCTGTTAAGAAGAGGCCTCTAGGTGTCATTTTGTTTGACAATGTTGACAAAGCTCATGTGTCTATTATTGACATTCTGGCTGAGATTATAGGTTCTGGTTATCTATTAGATGGTCAGGGGAACACTGTTGACTTCACTAAAACATTGGTAATCATGACAACAAATGTTGGATGTGATAAATTCTGGCCATGGCATTGCAAATGTGCCGACGAAGTTCAAAAGTTCCCTGTCAAAGAAGGGTTATATGAAGATGCATGGGAAACAAAACACAATTACTGTTATTATTCTCTTCTGAGGGAGGTAAGATGTTGGAAGGTCGATTTATATTGTTTTGTTTAAGGGAAACTATTATCATATCACCCAAATGACCTTCGCATCTTCTCTTTCGCAGACAAAACAGCATTTCAGACCTCAATTGCTTGAAAATGTGGATGATGTGATTGCATTTAGGTCTCTGTCCTTTCAGCAGTTGAAGGCTGTTGCTAGGCTCCAGCTAAGGGACATTGCCAGCTGCATGACACAGAAGGGCCTCATCATATACCCATCTGAAGCTGCATTAGATATTATCGTGCAGAGGTCAACTTGGCTTGGAGATAGAATTGTATGTCTTTCATATTCGATGATCTTTCTTATTGGAACTATTGAAAGGAAGAGAAACAATAACTCTATTAGAAAAAAAAACAAACAGCTAGCAAAACTAAATAAACAAGCTTCAGATGCATTGTGGAGAGGAGAAAGGATCCATAGTCTATTTAGCATTTCTATAGACAGATCACCACTGTGCATGCTGCGAGACCTCATGTCTACCATTCCGCACTACTCTCTCCACTTCACTGTCAATTTAGATTTTTTGTTACTCCTAACACTGCACTGACTAAAGCTGCTTCTTTGTGAAATTAGGAACAAATAATGATTTTCAAGATAATTACAATAAAACATTTATATGAGTTATACTCATGCAGATGCATATCTTATTGCATCTTATTGGATATTGAATCTTGTCAGTAGTGCACATGTGTAGACTCTTACTCTTTTCTTTTATTGATCCATCTTACTTTCAGAAATGTTTATTCTGATGTGTAGGGCACGTGTCCACATTTTCATATGTGCCATGAACATGCATCTTATGTCCACACACATACATTTTCAAATGTATAGAATGTTTGAGTTTCTCCTGCTTTTTAATAAATATAATTATCAAACAGCTCTTTTCCAAATTTTGTGCAACATTGATCAAACATATGTTCATTGCACCAGATAATAAGCTTTCTTTCTGATTGTAATTGAGCTTGGGGTGTACAACTTTTGATTGTTTCTTTAATTTTAACAGAATGGTGGGGAGAAAATAAGGATGTGGCTTGAAGAGAACTTGGTCCCTGTGCTGTTCGAGAAGCTTGCAAAGAACGGGATAAATGATTTTTCTATTATATATATTGAAGCCTCAGCGGAGACAAACCAATTGTCTTTCAGTTGGGCAAATTGCAGACATTCACTTGAAGAACAAGATGTTAATCAATTAGCATCTTTGAGGGAATTGAGATTGGTGTACCGTAAAGAGAAAGAACGGGCAAAGAACGTCTACATTCTAAGAAAAATTCACAACAAATTAATCACTAGTGCTAATGCTGAATTGGGTCATTCTATTGCTGTTGTTCAAGAGCTGATTAATACAATTCAGGATCTAGTTACAATTCCCAGTGGTATCAAGTCCTTCCTCGACAATCCTAAAATGGTATGTAATTTTGTTTTCACTGGCATTCACTCTTGCTGAATATTTCTTAATTGACTAAGTTCAGTATGGGTGAATATATACTTACACTATTCATGACTGTTTTTAGGTGGCAATGGCTGCCTTGAACGAGGATGAGCTTAGGCAGAACAAGAGGGCTAAAAAGTGAAATGAGGGTTGAGTTGCTAAGAGATTTGCCGGCGAGGCGAATTACAGAACTTTTGATCTGAGTAAGCTAATCATATGAAGAAGCCCCAAACTATGATGTTTGAAGCTTATTGGAATGCCATTAGCTAACTTGCCTTTTTGGGTATGGCATTGACTGTTACAATGTCAACATGAGTCTTCGCTGCATCCCATTCCTCAAAGGGACTTAGCAAAGACAGGATGAGCTGAGAGGATTCTTGAGCTTTTACTTCGCCAAGCTGACTGAAGTCCCAATTAGATGTAAATTGTCATAGGCATCATACTAACCAAACAAAAAGTTTTTTTTTTTCTCCAACTGTTACAGCAAAGGATTTACTGGAATTTCTTAACTTTGTTTTATGAGAACATAGGTTTTAGTCACGTTGTAAAAGTCTCAGCAGAATTCATTTCAGGCGACGATCGAATGCATGTGTATAGACAGCTCCTAAGCACTTTTGTTCCATCAGCCACTCATCATAATCTGATTCTGATCAAAGCCTTATGCTAAGTTGTTAAGATGTTAAGATGTCAGCTGCGCAGAATTACTCGATATAAAGTGACCAAAGCAACTTCAGTAATTGAATTGTTGATATAAATTTCTAGAACTATGGTCATTCAAATGTATGATGGTTACAACATTCCTTTGTAGAAAAAATACTTCTTTTTTTTATTTTTGTCTATCTTCCAAGACATTCAAGCATCCACATAAAAGCCAATCGGCACTACACAGAAATCTAAATTTATTTGTCCAGAATCCAGCTGCAAATGTAAATAGGGCATCAACAAAATTTCCTAAACCAAAAACGTTCAAACAGAAGTTTATGTTATGAGAAAGAAAGAAAAAGCCCATTTCATACAAATGTTGCCCTCATTTCACTTCAAACTTCCTGGTCTAATCTAATTAACGAAAGCATATCAATAAACCATCTTCGCTTAGTTACTGTGGCAAGTCAGCTTCAATTTCATTCCACTGATCTTGATTTACTGTGAATCTCTCCTTCATTTGCCCAACAAGCTCCCGAGCCTCTGATACCTTGGAAATGCTCACAAGCCCTTCCACAAGGGACTTCATCGTTGCAAAATTCGGAACCCAATTCTTCTCAATACTCTCCTTAGCAAACTGCAAAGCACTCTCAAACTCCCCACCTTTGCATAGAAAGTGAACAAGAGTATAATAGCACTCAGAATCAGGCTGGAAGCCCCTGTTCACCATATTCTTAACCAGCTTCTTTGCTTCATCCAAATTGCTTTCCCTGCAAAACCCATGAATCAAATGGCAATAAGTGACTGCATTTGCCTTCATACCCCTAGACAACATTCCATCTAACAATGCCTTGGCCTCCACAGACTTCCTCAACTTGCACAAACTCTTGATCCTAATGTTATATGTACTAAGCCCAGGTTGAAACCCATGCTTCTCCATCAAATTCGTCACCTTCCCAACATCTTCAAACTTCATCTCAGTATAAAACCCTGAAAGCAAATGCCCAAAAGTATTCGCATCCGGCTTCACATTCTTCCTCTCCATCTCGGCCAACACCGAATAGGCTGAGCTCGTCGAACCAGACTCCGAAAACGCCTTGATCACATAATTGTAAGTATCCAAATTGGGCTCAATCCCATAAACTTTTGGGAACTCTAGAAAAACCCTATTTACCTCCTTGTAATTCTTGGCAAAAATGCAAGCAAGCAACAGAGCGTTGAGCGTTTTCACGTTCCGAGGGATACCCATTTCGTCGCACTGTTCGAAAGTGCGAACGGCGTCGTCGAGCATATCGGCCTGGCCGTAGAGGACGATGGCGTGGGAAGCGAAACGCTGCGTTTTGAGGTCGGGGCGGGAGACGAACAGGTCGTCGAGGAATTGGCGGATGAAGTCATAGTGGTTATCGTCTCTGAGCTTGTTGATGGCGACGGAGAAAGTGACGCGGTCAAGGTGAGACTCGGGGGTTAGGGACGCGGTTTGGCAGATTTCGAGGATTTTAGTGGGGTCTTTCTCGGTCTTGAGGAGAGAGAGGGCAGCTCTGGTCTTGTCCTTGGTGGAGACTGAGGCGGCGGTGGAGAGGTGGCGAGTGTGGTGGGCGAGTGTTGCATGGCGGAGGCGAGATAATAGAGACATGGGTTTTAGAGAGAGAGAGAGAGGGAGATGGGAGCTGGCAGGGTGCTAGGGTTTTACAGAGGGATTGGGTTGGGAGGGGTTCAGAGAAGGAGAGCGAGTGAGACTTGAGGCAATGATTTCGGGGATGATCTGCTGTGGGTAAGAAAAGTGTGAGATTGGTGAGCTCGTTGTGAAGTTGAAAAAATAAAAAATAAAAAATAAATTGGGGGTTAAGGGTATTGAACCCGACGTGAATCGAACACGCAACCTTCTGATCTCGAGTCAGACGCGCTACCATTGCGCCACGGATCCCCGATTGGTTGTTGATGCAATCTTATAGAATTTATCAGAAGGTGTTTGTTTTTTGGGGATTGTTGAGAAGGGATTTTGTGTGTGTCTGTGTGTCTGTGTCTGTGGCTTCTGTCCTAATAAAAGAATCTAATCTGATCTGCTTTACTAATTTAATTTCATATATTTTTTTCAGTTAAGGTGCACTTAGATTAACGAATGAAGTCAATCAAATACTCACATGGGCTTGCATGCGGCCGGTCTCTAATTTTTATATAATAGTTTAGTACCTTCAAGCTTTTTTATTTTTTTCATTTTTGGGTTTTATATTGATTTGCAATATTTGACCTTTTTTTTTTGTTATTATATTATTTTTAAAATGAGAATTTCGTTGGCACATGACTGACTGATGCCAAATCAGTATTGGTAAATAGAATTATGTCGACATGTCCTTTTTCGGAAATGAATAATTTTACATTTTCTACTAATGTATTGATAACGAATTGCAAGAAAACGACATCCACACCACCACATCTATGTACATGTGGGGAAACGACATAATAATTAAATAAAATCGCATTACTAACACTTAGTAGCTACCATGATCATCTATCTACTTTATTTCTTCAAAGTTTAAACTACAATTCAAAGGGTTGCTTTAAAATGTAGTCAAAGTCGTGAGAGGCAATGGGAAACTTTAAATTTTTGCGTATGTCTGCGCATGTAGCAATTAATTCATACAAAAGAAAGGCACATATTCTTCCAACCTCATTTCACATCTTCTTTGTTTGTTTGTTTTTTTCCTCTATTTTAGTATCTACCAAATTTCTGTTTTTCTTTTATTTACATAACAAAGTTAGCGACATAAATTACATAAATTACCAATATTAATCACTTAATCCACAAACCACTTGCCGTTACAACTTAAGTCCTAAAATAACAAGCCATGGTGATATGGTGCCCCAAAAAAAACAATGTTCTTGCTATTAATTAAAGGATGAGGCCAATAGGGTCTAGCTCAATGAAAAATGGGACTTTATTTGCAAACTAGTGGTTTTATGTTCGAACCCCCATAACACTTTAATAGTGTGTGTTTGGGAAACCCCCTTGCATAGCAATTTATTTAGACTATCGATTGTATATATATTTTTGTTGGAAAAGATGCTTTATTAAAAAATAATAAGCACCATAAGAGTGTACAAAAGATAGCACTGAAACATCCAATACTATCCAAAACCCAAGCATTAGAGACATGAACAAATGCATGATCTTAAAAAAGACTTAAGATTTGGGGTTTAATGCGTGATTTTAATGGCAGGACGACATCTTCTACAAAAAAAAAAAGAGAAGAAAAAAGAGAAAGCCTGAACACCCCTTCGATCTATCTGCACATGGAAACCGGAATGCCACCAACAGAAATCATCACCCTACATCAGAAAAATAAAATCAGAAAAATGGAGCAGGACCAACATTTTCTTAAACATGTACTGCCCATATTGGTGTAAAATCCTCGCTTGTTCCACCGTTGCATCAAAATCGCTTCGCATGGAGAATTAGTGGTGGTGTACTTGATGAAATTGAATAATAGAGTTGGCGCAAACCAACACCGCCAAACCGTCCATGCCACGTAATTCTGGCAAGAAACTTCTCGTCACCTTCATGTGAAAATAGAATTATTAGCCGACCAATCAATGGTGTATGGGACGGGAGATGCAGACCCCACTGCATCGGCGAATCTTCTAACGCATCTCCTCACCTGCATCACGTGATTATCAGCCTAACTACGTTGTAAAATCCTTTTATTTTTTTGGTGAAGGCGTTTTCAAAATTTTAAATTCAAACCAACTAATTCACAAATTTAGGCGCCATGGTTAAATTTCTTTGCCGCCTAAACTCCATGTCAAAGAAAAAACACACACACATATTCATTTTATAATGCACATCTATATAATTTTAGTTTTAAATTCAATATATTTTTTTAATTATTTATTTAATTTGTATACAAATTATGTCGAAGAAAAAAAAATTCTAACATAAGACATAAAGCATAAGATTAATCGTTCGTAACCACTTAAACTATAAGACATAAGACATAAAATTATGCATTTAAATGTTACATTTTTTTTACAAAGAAAATTCATGATTCACAAGCAAGTCTGAATGTTTTATTTCTGTTATCATTTTCGATAACATCTTCACATGGGCGGCTTTTTTTGTATACTTGTTTTTTTATTATAAAAATGGGAATGGTAATTTGCGACAGGTTAGAAATTATAAAAAAAGGTTAACTGTTTGGAACTAGAAGCATATGCTCTCTTCTTTCGGACTGATGGTGGAAGTAAATTTTCCCCAAAAGTCAAAAATCAAAGCCCGAGTTTAAAATATGTTTGTACATGTTTAAATACCATATAATTAAATTTTTGATATATATATATATATATATATTTATAGACTTTAAATGAATTAAATTTATGAAAATGAGAATTTGAACTTGAGTGTAAGAAAAGGGATTCAGTCCACTGATGCGTATGTTTGTAAAATCGTAAATAAGACTCGTTTCCCATAATTAGGACAAAAAGGGGCTGTTTCATTTTTCAACGTCCCTAAAATAATAAGCACAAATAAGAAAATAGAAAGAAAAAAAAAAGAAAAAAAGAAAAAAAGAAAAAGCGCAGAGAGAGACAGAGGGAGTGAGGATAAGAGCAGTTAGTTATAGTTTATTAAGTAAGACGAGTACAAGTTTACAACCACCACCACTTGCGAGTTGCGACTGTAAAGAGAAAAGAAGAAAATGAATTGAATTGAATTATAGAGGCTGGAAGACGTGAGCGTAGAAGCTTAGGTGAGAGCGACCAAAGCATGGTCTGTGGTGTGCGTAAACAAAAGTCCTCCAAATCCCTGAAAAGCCCACCCTATCTCGATCTCTCTTGGACCGTCTGGTAGGGGTAGTTCTGGTAGACCCCCCCTTCCATCTTCCTCTCTCAGTCTCTCTGTGAGCTGTGTGCTTTTGCTTTGACGAGTTAGGCAGAGAGG